TTGAAAATGAATAATCCATTCGAAAGAAGACAAGAATACATATTCTAAGTGCCTACTCCAAGAGGATTATACCATCAACAAGTGTTTTTGCAAATGCAAATTTATGGGATTTGAAAGCTATGCTTTCTTCTTCACCATGGGTTTTCATCTTATTTTTCTCTCTCAAACCAACGACTCCAAATACATATCATGGAGCACCATTAGCAGAGTTGGCTATTTGGAAGCGTTAAGACCAAAAAGTTCTTTTGTTCCATCATTACATTGCTCAGCTTAGGCATTGGAGCCATGAGATAAACCTAAAAAAATTCAATGTAATAGAAGTTGATTTGTATGTACTTCAAAAATGTATCAAATAAACTCATCCATTAGGGAAGGAGGACCCTCTCTTTCTGACATATTAACCAAGATTCATGTCTTGCTCAGAGATGCTAGCCAAGAAAATGCAAATTTAACGTGGAACTTGGGTATCATCCTCAAAAACCAGAAAAGAACAATACTTCCTCTCCAATGGAGGAATCTCAAAACATTGATAATTAGTTAATTAATTGTATGTTTTCCCACAATAAGTCGCCGTTCCTATTAATAAACTGCGTCTTAAATACATATACATGGCTAATTCTCTCCTATTTACAACCCTCCCATTATTTTACTCCTTCGACTGATAGGAGGGCTCGATAGATGAAGAAGATCATAAGCAGAAACAGGAACACAAACCCAGCAGATAAAATTTTGCTCTGGCAGGCGGGATTGGCATCCCCAGCTTCGGGAAAGTGCCGACTACAGATGTGCTCTAGACGGGCTGCTACAACATCTTCCTTTGCGAAATACAAGGAGTACAGGTGAGAATGCAGGTATTCCACTATCATATACTCCTCCTGATTTTTTTTTATCTCAAACCAACGACTCCAAGAGCACCATTAGCAGAGCTAGCTACTTGGAAGCATTGAGACCAAAAAGTTCTTTTGTTCAATCATTAAAATGCTCATTCTGGACACAGGAGGCAACAGATAAAACTCGAACCAAAAAAATTTCAATGTAATAGAAGTTGATTTGTATGTACTTCAGAAATGTATCACATAAACTCATCCATTAGGGAAGGATGACCCTTTCTTTCTGTCTTATTATCCAAGATTCATGTCTTACTCAGAGATGTTAGCCAAAAAAGCGCAGATTTAGCATGAAACTTGGGTATCATTCTCAAAAATCAGAAAAGTACAATACTTCCTCTCCAACTGAAGAATCCCAAAACATTGATAATTAGTTAATTAAACAAATGTTTTCCTGTAATAAGTCGCCCTTCCTATCAATAAACTGTGTTTTAAATACATATATAGTTAACCCTCCCCTAATTACTATCCACTCTCTATTCTACTCCTTCGACGGATGGGAGGGCTCGATAGATGAAGAAGATCATAAGCATAAACAGGAACACAAACCCAGTAGATAGAATTCTGCTCTGGCTGGCGAGATTGGCATCCTCGGCTTCGGGAAAGCGCTAACTACATATGTGCTCCAGACGAGCTGCTACAACATCTTCCTTTGTCAAATACAAGTAGTACTTGTGAGAATGTAGGTATTCCACTATTATATACTCCTGATTTTTTCTATCTCAAACCTACGACTCCAAATACTTAACATGGAGCACCATAAGCAGAGTTGGCAGTCGCGTTCGATAATCACTAGTAAGAATCCTCTCTTCTCGATCTATCAGATTCCCATCCATAACGCCTTGGGTTTGCTTCTTTCACCCGTCACTGGCTTGTTTCTCTTCAAGCAAACCTCATGCATAAATTCTCATCCATTCCTTCATAGTGTCACATAGATCAATTCCCTTCGGCTTCAATAGGCTTGCTTCGATGTTGAGCTTAACGAAGCCTTTGGGCGGTCTAACTCATATCTGCCCGGACTGTTGTCCTGCTGTTTGTCGATTTATGTTGGGAGAGGAGTTAATTATATCTAGAAATAAGTTTTTCTTATGTAGGGCTAAACTCGAGGAATTCGGGAGAGTAGTTAATTACAAAGTATGTTTTTTTTTATATAGGGGCAAACACAGGAAATTCGAGATCACTATCGAAGAACTTGTTTGGGCAATTACATCACGAAGTAAATTTTTTTATAAGGGAAAACCCGGGAAATTCGAGATCACTATAAAAAATGTTTGGGTGATTACATCTGGTAGTAAGTTTTCTTTATAGGGGCAAACCCTAGGAATTCGAGATCACTATCAAAGAACTTGTTTGAGCAATTACATCTGGAAGTAAGTTTTTTTCTATAGGTGGGCAGATCTAGGGAATTCAAGATCACTATCGAAGAACTTGTGTGGTCAATTACATCTGGAAGTAAGTTTTTTTCTACAGGGGCTAACCCGAGAAATTCAAGATACCTATCGAAGAACTTGTTAGGACAATTACATCTGGAAGTAAGTTTTTTTTTAAAGAAAGCAGGTGTATTCTCATTTGAAGTTCCACCATTATTTTCATAATCCTTCGGAAGATTAACTTTTTATAAAGTTCATCACGTTTTTATCTTTTCAATAGTTTGACCATGCAAATCTTCATAGCAACACTCCACGAAGTCCATATTATAGCATGGATCTAATACCATAGTCATAGAAAGAACTGCAATATAAGATTGTCAATATTTGTCTAAATTCACCCACATTGTTGTAGCCATCTTTTTTATATCACCATCACCACTATTTCATTCTTGAAGTAGCTTTGACTCGATCCTTCGTACATTAATTAAGTACATATAAGATGTTGGGTAATTTACTCCAGAGAAAAGAGTAGTAATCTCATAAAAAAGCTTCAAAAGACTACAAATCTTGGGGATTTTATTTCACTCTTCCTCCGGAGGACACCCCTCAAAGCTCTTGTCAATCAATTTTAGTTTGGCAAAAGTAGGACGATAAAATTCAGTTCTGTCAAGCATCATATATGTGGAATTCAATCTTGTAGGACAATCCAACCACAATCCTTTTGAGCTCCGAGGTTCGGATCCCTTCACATACCTTCACCCATTGTCGAATAATATTTATAGAATTGACATATCTATAAACTAATTGAGCAACATATTCCAAACTACTTGTGAAAGATTACAAGGGAGCAACAATCATATCATCATGATTTAGACATTTCCATCTAAAAAGAATTAGATGAATACTGGTCAATTAGAATTGGGCTGAATAAGGATGTTACTATATGATGAAATGACTACTATTATACCCTGTATTGATACAATAATTTAATAATGAGAATGATTGTTATTTTTATTCGTATATGTTCTTTATTATGTCTCTGAAGTATGTACCATTTAAGAAGTAATTGTGTCGCTTACAATTGATAGTCACCAAGGGATAGTAAGTACTAAGTGGTGATGTAACTCAATGTTAGAGTAGGGGATACTTTAATCTTTTTATAGAATTCACCAAAGTATATAGGATGTTTGACATCGCGTACATAGAAAAAATTGGTTATCCATACATAGAAAAAATTGGTTATCCATAGAAGTTCTAATCCAAATTTTACATGCACAAACAAACAAAAGGATGACCATTGTTTTCTCTGTCTTCTTTACTCGTAGACACAAATCATGTTCCGACACAATAATACTTCCTTTTAGTTCTAAGTGAATAAGCCTCCAAGACCAATGTGGCCCAACCCAAACCACAATTCTTCTCTTTCCACAACATTCCATTTCCTTTTTAATACATCAACATTTGCTCATTCAATCAATTTCATCGAGCATCACATAATGGCATTGATTCAAGATAACATAAAGCCTATATAAGGAAATTGAACCAATTAGCAGCAATTCAATAATAACTTTATGAAACCAAAGGTAAGATAGTCTAACGATAAAGCAGTAATTCAAAAAAAAAAAATTCATGATTTTCGGATTGTGGAGCACAAAGTTATGGTCGTTCAAAGTTTGACGAAATCGAAAAAAGGCTCGTTCGGGGTAGCAAACGACATATTTTCGAGACGAAGGCGGGACCAAACCGCCTAGCGGAAATTTGCGGCTTGCAAGATCTCGAAAAATTATGCGGAATCAAAAAAAATTTCGCTACGATCGGATAACCGAGCACAAAGTTACGTTTGTTTAAAGTTTCGACGCAGGTCAGGCCTTCACCGCGGCCGTGTACTACAGTGATGCAATCACTGTCTTCGTCGACAGCGGTGATGCAATCACTGTCTTCGTCGACAGCGGTGATGGCCTAAACATGCGTAGATTGGGAATTATTTTCATAACGTGTGTATTTTGAGAATTTTTTTTTAAAAACATGTGTAACTTGGGATTTTTTCCTATTCAAGGTTCATATTTCAACAACAGTCTTTTCACTGGAATGGGATAAGTGTGTTTACACTACTGTGGTTGTTGGAGTAACATGCAATAGGTGCCTCACTAAGATGAGCATCTCTCTTAATCGCCTCGATTGATTTTCTATACTTTGATCCTCAACAATCCATCAAAACTCCTCAATTAACTCGACTAAGGTTCCAAGTGTAGATCATATAGACATTAATAAAATAGATTTCATAAAGAAGGTTGTCACTTTTTTCGACAACGTAATCTTCATATATAGTTGAAAAAAACTTCTCCACAGTTGTAGTTACATTAGCTACAAATACGTAATAGCTCGAGAAGCCAATAAATTTCAACGTACACTTCAGTTCCTTCTTTCCGTTTATGGAATCACATCCTCTCATCCTATTTCGATTCACGAACATATATAGGTCCATGTCTGACTTTCCAGAAATTTATGACTTGAACGGGGTAGAAAATCATTTGGATCGTGTTTAGTGAGCTTTGCACAGCATATGGACATAAACACTAAAGAGTCACAACATCACCTATTAACAACAACCACCACCTTCTAATCCTTAACTCTCCCTGCTACCTCATACAATGTTGAACAAAGCATTATGTTGCATTGAAGAGTATCGATGGTGCGCCCTTGGTTGCTATCATGTCTATGCTGGTCTCTACGTACCCACCCGTGATTTGCAATGCTGAACAGCCTCGCTGCTAGAGTTGGACCGATTCTTCGAGGGTGGTTGTACGCGATCTAACCAAAGCACTGCTGCTGCTACCGCTCGCTCCACATAAGAGTGCAGGAAGGGGTAGCGGCAGCTAGAGGTAGACAGACAGATCTACACATAATGCAGTTATCAATGAGGGAAGACAACCGGTGAACGAGATAGCTAATGGTTCGTTTTCGTTTGCAGCAGTAGCTAATAGACCCACACACACAGCCTTCATGGTGTTGCACATTCGAGCTAGGTTTCTCAGGACACTAATTGTCCTGGGAGCAAGGAAACATATGGATGTTTAGTGCCAGGGTTAATTGTGATGCATTGCTGCTCTTCCCAATTGCAATGGCTAAAACATCAACTCTACACACAATCTAACAATACAGTGGTTCGAGAGCCAAAGCCAATTCCAAAGTTCAGCACATTAGTGCATTCTGCCTCATAGCTCATAGCTCATAGTAAATCCTAAAATTCGAAATCCATCATGAAATTAGGAACCCTAACCACAGCTGTGGAATCCCACCAAACATACAAACAGACTCTAATTATGACAGCATAGAAATCAGGAGAATTCCTGCATAGTGAAGTAAAACATAAGCCTGAACATCTTTCCAAAATTCTAATACCTAGAAGGAAAGGAAGAGACGGAGAAGCTAACTGAGAATGGGGGAAACAGAGAAAGAAGCGCTCGCCGGGCCATGGGAGGAGTTGAATCGCGCTCAGTTGATGTCCGAGTCGTCGAAATCGTCCTCGAAACTGTTGAAGAAATCGGCGTCGGCGAGCTTGCTCTCGTTCATCATGCCTTCGCTGAACATTTCGAGCGGGTCAACGTCATCGACGTCCATCGCCACCGTCGATCCTTGCTCTTCCATTTCGGCGAAGAAATCCATCTGCATCGGCCTCATCTCCAGCGCTGATCTCCGATCAATTCCCTCGCCCTTTTCCCCGATAAAAAAAATCCAGAACCCACGAAAATCGCCCGATGGAAATAGTTGCTTGGCTAGTAGAAAGAACACAGTTGTGGTTATATACAGCGAACCGACACCATACTACGGCGTCGTTCGCCCATCAGGAAACCCGGCGCGCACTGCCATCCGGCAAACAAAAGACTCGTCTTGGGCTTTTCGTGTATTTGGGCCGGCTCGTGAATGAAAGAGCTGAAGGCCCACTTGTATAGCCGAACGAGGGAGAGCAGTGGAAGTGTGGAACATCACTGCTCTTGCAATTGTTGATCGCTGTTTTCCCATTCCCGACTTCCTGGACGAAAATGTTCTTGCTAGTTTTGGCGATTTCGGTTTGGTCAACACTTCGTAAATCATTGGTTGATTACACGAACATGGATTGTTGTTGGCAATACAACATAATGTGCAGTCATTCTCATTATTGCTCCATGGGTTAAGAACAAACAACTTCTGGAGCAGATAATGAGCGCATAAATACTACATTGCAGTGGTGGCCACACGGGAGTTGCAAGATGCTGGGTCTTGGAGGCAAATGCAGAGACCATCGTCACCGTCAGCAGGAAATGAGTTGGGGAGAGGATGATCCGGCATCACTCCGACCTACACAGAGAGGAGCCAGCAATTAACTGACTATACAGAATGGAGACAGAGTCGGATCTGACACGAGACTGATTTAGTAAATTGAAACTCGGTCCAACAAACCTTGTCGATGTCAATGTGCGAAGGTGTCTCATAACGAGCAACAGTCACAACCACACCTGAGCCATCGGATAGCTGGAACACAGACTGAATCTTTCTGCGACAAACATCAAAGGAATAGGGAATGATGTAGGAGTGTATTTGCTTGCACTAGCTGGGAATTTTTTTTGTGTAGAGTGAGCATATACATATACGTACCCTTTGCCAAATGTGGGTTCTCCATATAACACGGCACGTTTGTTGTCTTTCAATGCACCGGCTAGTATTTCACTTGCACTTGCAGTACCCTTGTTCACCTATTCCATATTCAGAACGGGAACACTAACAATCAAGTGGCGGATAACTCTGGAACGGAGTGATATCATAATACTAAGGAAACATACCAAAACTGTTAGCGGGTCTGAAGTTGCTAGGGCGCCACTTCCATCAGTGTCGTAAATGTCTCTAACACCCTTACTGTCACACACATATACAATCACACCTTTGTCCAACCTGGAAAATAAATTAAAACTTGTAAGAAATTCAGACTGACAGCAATGGTAAGGAGGAAAGCAACATCAGTTGGAAGAATCCCCAAAAACAGCGAGAATCGGCCAGTGTTGGCTTACCAAATCTTGGCAATTTCAACTCCTTCAGGGAACAGGCCACCACTGCAGCAAATTCAAGCTTTTAGAAAGATCACGATGCATAGGACCAAGTCAAGAAGAGGAAGCCGAAGGAGAACAAGGCGAATCACCTATTATTTCGAAGGTCTAGAACAAAGGTATTGACACCATCGCTCTTAAAACTACTGACAGCTTTCTTCACAGCACCTGCAACAGTGAATTGTTTCATAAACCACAACCAAGATGACAGACTGAGACAAGCTTTCTTCTCAGTGAATGATGTTCTCAACTCAAATGACAGTCAAAACCATCCTACCATACCTGAAGTCCACTATCTAGACTGGATATTTACTACCAACCTGCAGAATTTTGGCTGAATGAACTCAGTTTGATGTACCCAATCTTAGATGAGCCTTTCCCAGATTTAGGAATTTCACAAAGTTTAGTCTTGACTGGATTTAGAGACACCTTCTCTCGTCTGTTAAGCATTAGACAGTTGGTTAAGCCACCGAGACATATCTGCTCAAACAACATGCCCTGTAAAGGAGCACTGCTCCAATGATAGTCAAATGTACACTCACGTCAAACCCAGATGCTTTACTTCTGTACCACTGCGAATCGTCACTTCGACTGAACTTCCCTCTGGACCCCTATGCCAGAGAACAAACGAAATTGATTTAACCTAAAATACTATTATATGAATGATTAAAAATGGTCTCTTGTACGTAGCCCTAAGAGAACGAATAGATACTCACTGTAGACGGTCTGCAGCATCATATATACCCATGCCTTCTGTGCTTTTATCATCTATTGCCATGATGATGTCTCCAGACAAAATGCCAGCCCTGTTTGCAGGACCTCCTGGGGAAGCTGAAATAACAACCAGCCCAGCTGGTGATTCCTCGGACCGATTAGGATAGCCTATTGACAGCCCTACACCAGTAAGAGAACCTTCTGTTCCTGACTGCCTTCACAGAAACACAAACGATTCTTAAGAGAAGAGACCCAATCGTCCATCCTAACCATTCAAAGCCACATCTCAAGTTTGTATCAGATGAAACCAAATTCAAAACTACCTCATACCCTCAAGCTCCTCAACTTTTCAGGTTCCAGAAACCTCGTAAAAGGATCGTCCAGCGAGGCAACCATCTTCCGTATAGCATTGTCTGTTGCAGAAAAAACATGATAAGTCACTGACACTAGTTACTTAGGAACATTGGCAATTTAGATGCGTGAACATATGAGCATACACGTCTCTTCGCGAGTATTCATCGGCTCACTGCGCAGAGCTTCTTCTCTGTAACGAAACCAACTCTGCCCATTGAAAGTTTTGTCCACATAAGCACGATCAACCAATCTCCATGCCTCCAAGAACAGTAAATTCTCTTCGCTTAGGGCGCCTACAGAACATCGCAGCAATTACAGCAATGAATCAATCAACCACTGAGTTAACAGTCAGCGTCTCCTGAAAAGAGAAAAGCAAAAACTCACTCGAATAAGCATTGCTGACGCCAAAAGATACGGAAGTAACCATCATCGCGGCAACTGCCAACTGGAACAAGAACTTCGAGGTGCGCTTCCCCAACTCGTCAGAGCAACTCATCCCTCTGAAAATCCCGGCGATGTGCTTCTTCAATTTGCTGTCATTGCTGCAGCTCGAGTACCCAACGCCCCCTCTCGGAGTCCAAAATGACCGGATCGAAAAATTGCGCATCGGAACCTTCCGCAAGTTGTGAAATCGTGGCTGTACCTGAGCTTCCACGGCCCGCAGAGGCAGAGATTTCCATGGCGGCGCCTGCAAGAAGAAAACGATACAGTTCATTTCCAAATTCGGTGACTAGGATGAAGTAAAACCAGAATTAAGGCAGGCCCGGGGTCAATGGAGACGAGGAAGGACCTGACGGCGAGTGGACGAAGCGCTGGCGCAGTGAGGAGAGAGAGATAATAGGGAAGAGATTGTCAGGACAGCCATGGCCGCCGGAGCATAGAGAAGCGGAGGCCCACCGGTAAAGTTGAAATTCAGGTACTGGAGTGAGTGAATGTGAGTAGCAACTGCCAACTCGCAAGTAGTTGTCGCTCTTCCCTTATCGTGAGTCGTTTTCTCGCCTCCCGGTTTCCAGATTGCTTGTGCTTTGGGCTTTTGGTTTTGGGCTGGGCTTACAGCTTCATAAGAAGCCGATCTGGATGTGGTATGGGCTCGGTATCACAAGATTGACCACTGTCAAAAAAAAAAAATTCTCAAAATAGACCACAAATACTGACCATCATCAGCATACTAATTTTTATCTAAACATTCTGTGAGCTTCGGAGCGTAGAGTTGTTCGTGTTGACAGGGAGAATAAATTTTCGATCAACTATTTGGAACATTAGGGACACTCTAAATCCTGGAACTCGTTTAGTTCGAGCTTCTGGCCCTGTCGTCGCATATCGAATTTCGAATAACTTCGTTGACGACTTGGCCATTCAATCGGTTAAAGAAGATGACGAATAGTCGAATTAGGGATGGCAATGGGTCGGGTCGGGGGCGGATAGTGCATATCCGTTACCCTACCCAAAGTACTTCGGGTTTTACCCATACCCATACCCACATGTGAAACGGGTAGAAAATCAAAACCATGCCCATACCCGTTCGGGTTTCGGGTATCCACGGTTATCCATGGATATTAATTTCTGTTCATAACTCCAACCAATATGTTAACATTCACACATATTCTTATATTAAGTAAGAGAAAAAGTACGACAAGAATTCACTAGAATGAAGAAAATTAACTAAAACAACACAATTTCATGAAAATGTTATATTTATATGCTAAATATAAAATACGTTAGAGAAAAATAATGATTATTTCTAGACAAAATACATATGCATGTGTATAATCGGGCGGGTTCGGGTCGGATAGTGAGAAATCCATGCCCACCCATTACCCGCAATATTCGGGTTCGGGTTTTACCCGTACCCACTAAGTGTCCTTCGGGTTCGGGTTTTACCCTACCCGACTAGGCCGGATTCGGGCGGATATCCACGGTTACGGATATTTTTGCCATCCCTATATGTATTTTGCTGAAATGTTATATGTTATTACTCGTATTTTAGAAGAAATTTTATATAATAATTTTTCATGTTCAGAATTAAATCAGACTAAAGTGATCAGACCATTAACCCTCAATTCACTTGTCGACCGTGCCAACGGGCTAAACCAAAGGATACAGAGTTATCGGGCCGACGGGCTAAACGAGGTTGTTAAGCACGTAAACAGGAAACTTGTCGCGCTATGGGCGTGCCTTGAGATCCACTAAATGACCGCCTTGTCACTTTACTCCCTCCTTTTCGACTGACGGCATCTCCCTTCCGCTGAACAGAAGAAGAAGAAGAAGCAGCAGCAGAAGCAGAACCAAACTGAAAAAAATCCAGCACTTCCACGAGTCAGCTGAGTCATCAGCTCTCCTCCTCGGTCCATCCAACGCTTCACCCCGCCGGACAAGACTCGCCGCCTCTTGCGATGGTGAAGAAGAACGTGCCGGATTGGCTTAATAGCTCTCTCTGGACCACTGCGCCTTCCTCTCCTTCCGCTTCTTCCTCCGACGATCCCTCCAAGCCGGCAATTTCCCCGAGTAAGACGACGAGTGAGCCTAATTTCGAGCCTCCGATTCCCGTCCGGCCTCCGACGGTTACGAGAGAGGGACAACCGCCGCCACCGCCTCCTTCCCTGTCACAGAAACCGGAGATCAAAGATAAGAATTCTCGGACTAGTATTACCAGTAATGCTAATAGCAGTAGCAGTAGCAGCATTGACAAGGATGAAGATCGCGATGGCGAGAATGGCGCCTCTCCTGCTGCTGGCCCTTCCGCGGAGGATATTACGAAGCAGGCTCAGTTGTTGACCGAGGTGAGTGAGAGATTAGGAGATTATTGAATTGTTTGCTTGTTATGTGGTTGATTGAACTGTGAATCATGTGTGAAATGCAGTTGTCGAAGAAGGTAGTAAATGTGAAAGAATTGAGGAAGATTGCTTCGCAGGGCTTGCCTGATGGCGCTGGCATCCGTTCTACAGTTTGGAAGGTAACTGTTTAGGGTTTGACTGATTTTTGTGCTGATAAAATGAAGTTTTGGTTTGATGCTGGAATGACAACTGCGCCATTACTCTGAGAAACTAGGAGATACAGACTATTGTTGTTCTCGGTTTTGAAGTAGTTTCTCCAATGCACAAACTTATTCTTTGGTATTGTTTTACATGTGAGGTGTGAATCTAGAAGTTGGATGAACTCCCAATTCAAGTAGAATTTATTGATCTATAGAAAGAAACTATCTTTTTGTGCAGCTTTTGTTGGGATATTTGTCTCCTGAGCGTTCACAGTGGTCATCTGAATTGGCTAAGAAGAGGTCTCAATACAAAATTTTCAAAGACGAGCTTCTCATGAATCCTGTAAGTTCTGCTATTCCCGATGTGATTTATGCTGCACTTCAGCATATAAGAAGGCCATGCTGCACTATAGTATGTAATAAGGTCATGCTGCACTATAGTATGTAATAAGATCATGCTGCATTAGTCTTCATATTTAAGCCAAAATGCATATTCGCATTGCTGAACTTCTTTGTGCCTAGTTAGTCAGAAATCACAAGGAAGTTGGAGAAGTCTACCCTTGATGACGAGCCAAAGTCTGAAAGTCGTTGTGTGCTATCAAGATCAGAGATAACTCATGATGAACATCCTTTGAGCCTTGGGAAAACCAGCGTTTGGAATCAGTTCTTCCAGGTACAAGGATGCCTGGTCATTGTTGCTGTTTGAATTAGTGAAGATGGATCTTTTTGGACATGAGGCGACTTTTGTGTAGCTTCAGTCTTTTATATTCTCTTCAAATTTGAATTTGTAGGACTCTGAGATTATAGAGCAGATTGACCGAGATGTCAAACGTACTCATCCCGATTTGCACTTCTTCTGTGGAGATTCATCTTTTGCAAATTCTAATCAGGTCCAGAGCTGCATTCTTGGTGGGCAATTATTTTATTTGATGCTGTAGTGTGTCTGACATGTGATGTTCCCTTTTCTTTCTTTCAGGAAGCTTTGAAAAGCATATTAGTTGTGTTTGCCAAACTAAATCCTGGCATCAGATATGTTCAGGGGATGAATGAGATTTTGGCACCTTTATACTATGTATTCAAAAGTGATCCTGATGAGGAAATGGCCGTAAGTAAATTGTTATATTTTCCAGCTTTTCACTCTGGATTGTGCTTAGGTTGGCGTTGCATGGTATTTCTGCATCTTTTGCGTGGTTGATTTATTACTCCAAAAGTATTTATTATTAAAAGTTTCAAAAGATTTGAAGTTGTTGAAGCCTTTAATCTACAGCCTAGAGTAGTTTACATTGTTGCCAGTGATCACTATGCATTCAAAAGTGATCCTGATGAGGAAATGGCCGTAAGTAAATTGTTATATTTTCCAGCTTTTCACTCTGGATTGTGCTTAGGTTGGCGTTGCATGGTCTTTCTGCATCTTTTGCGTGGTTGATTTATTACTCCAAAAGTATTTATTATTAAAAGTTTCAAAAGATTTGAAGTTGTTGAAGCCTTTAATCTACAGCCTAGAGTAGTTTACATTGTTGCCAGTGATCCATGGCAGAGCAACATCCTAGAACAAGCTCCTCTGATTTTACAAAGGAATTGACTGATTGTTCTGCTGGCTGACTTTGTGCAGGCTTGTGCTGAAGCAGACACATTCTTTTGTTTCGTTGAGTTATTAAGTGGATTCCGTGACAATTTCTGCCAGCAACTGGACAATAGTGTTGTGGGAATCCGTTCAACAATTACCAAGCTATCCCAGCTTTTGAAAGAACACGATGAAGAACTATGGCGTCACCTCGAGATCACAGCCAAGGTAAGAAATGGTTTTAAGTGTAGGTTTAGATTTGTGCATAACAAGGGGAAGTCATCAGTTTCTTTATATAAGAGGATTCAAACTCAAGAAATAATGTACTTGTGTGATGCAGTTTAACCAGTCATTTAACATGTGTTATCTGCTGAGATATCTAATCATATCAACACTGGCTATTCTTCTCTGACTCTGAGTATAGATCTTCTTGTTTTCTGGCGATTGAACAGGTGAACCCGCAGTTTTATGCATTTCGGTGGATCACCCTCCTGTTGACACAGGAGTTCAACTTTGCAGACAGTCTGCATATCTGGGACACCCTTCTAAGTGATCCCGAAGGCCCTCAGGTAAAACTTTAACTTCCACCGTTCTCTCTACACTGTCATTGTCATAACACCTATTACTCTCTTTCCTTTATCCCCTTGGGTATCTGAATCCAAACATCCCAAAAACTAACAAGCACTGTGGCGGGAGATTTGCAGGAGACTCTACTTCGGATATGCTGTGCAATGCTAATTCTGATCAGAAGGCGGCTCCTAGCTGGGGATTTCACCACCATTCTCAAGCTTCTGCAAAACTACCCGCCCACAAACATCAGACATTTGCTTTATGTTGCAAACAAATTGCGTCATGTACCCACTTGCTAATTGCCCCCAGTATGTTGTCAATCAGTTTCGCTTTCGTTAGTGTTTTGCTTCCTCTCCTTGGTGGGGTCTCGATGTAAATTATCGACTAACTGACACTCAAGTGTGTTAGCGAGATTTTTAGATCCTTGTTAACATCCCCTGTTGCTTCTTTCGTTGGTCACTGAAATGTTGTGTATTTATCTTTTCATCTGTAGCTAAACGCCTCTAGATGTTTGTTTTGTGTGATGGAATAGCTTTTGTGCTGGCGGTGTCAATTTCGCATTGTGTTTCCATTCACAATAGATGGAGCAGAGGGATCGATTTTTCGGCATATCGGATACAAGTTACAAGCACTAGCAAGACTCTTCATATGAGAATGAAATCTGGAAAGAATGGCATTCACTATTATATCCCATTAACAAACAAATCTATCAAACGCTTCTGTAGATAGTTCACTACTATTTCCCATCTAACTATCGACCAGTAGGGTGCTTGATGACCTTTGGAGGATGTTTTATCCTCGAGCTGCTGGACCAGTGTTACGACGAAATCAGAGACGTGAAACTGACTTCCTGAAAATAATCAGAAGGGCAGACTTGACAACTTCGAAGTGGTAGCTGCGACGCCTGTACAGCGTAGTAAAGACTACAGCCTGAGATCAATAGGATACCTGAGGCAAAAATGTAGTATGATGTGGTTTGGGATTGTGCTCCCAAATTGATGAGTAGCAGTCATTCTAAGAGAGTTGCAGTTAACAAGCTAGCTAGAGGCTATCACATAATATTCTTCATCGAACCATGGAAGAAGTTCGATTCCCCCGCTGCTGCTGATGAGGATCCAAGTTGCCTGTCATTTGGCTTTCCAACTGGTTATGAAGAACTTGCAGAACATTGTCAGGGGGGCATCTATGAGTGGGATTTCTTGCTTCTGTTTGACAGAAACACTCAGGCCAAGAGTTGGTATAAAATGACTCATTTCTGACCCGCTCTTGAGGACTGCCAAAGCTGGTATTCATCATCACACGCCTAACGGCTTCTTCAAAACCGGCTTTTCTCCCTTGCGCCCGAGCTATGAAGGCTGGGGCAAGTCCCTTCCTGTCAGGTCTAATTGTTGTTCTGAAGCCATAGTAAAGGCGGTGGCCCAGGAGATTGTTGGCAAAGTTACTCGGTCCATCGTATGTTGGCATGAAAATGTCAGCCAGAAGACAAACCATGTAATCCACAGCGGAACCCAACAAACCCTGGCTTTTTGTAGATAGGTCCTCCGAGGAATCGACAGAGCTGTGATTTTCTAGACGAGGAAAAAGAGCCCTGAAAGGTTTCATATATTGTTCCCCACCAAAAAGTTCACCAGCTGCTAAAAATATTCGAGTTGAATTATCAAAACCCATAGCTCGTAGAATAAGTCCAACCTGCAGCATGAAGTGATCTTAGTTGCTATCTCGGCACCAGCAACATAAACACGACAAAGCTATAGTCAGTCATCTAGATATATGCTCTGACAGAATAGGCTACCTTTCTAAGCTCAACAAACTCAATGGCAACAGGAGAAGAAACTAGGACAGCCATGATGAACAGGAGCTCACCTCTTCTGGAGTTAGTGGGCATTTTCCCATGAGTCTCCTCTCCTCAGGGTTTAGGTCCTTCTTGGCAAAATTTCCATCCCGATACTTCTCCAATATTGCTTTTTCTTCAGGACTAAATATGTTAAAACACCTGTAAGTAGACCACAACGAAAAATCACGATGGTACCTTGCCACTAAATACAAGTCCCGAGCATAACATAACGAGCTGGGAATGAAGAAAAATTCCTGAAGTTCATAGTGATGAACATAAAGGCTTCCCCGAAAATACCATTGAAGTGGTATCTAACAGGGACTGAAATTAAACAACAGCATACGGTTCACTTGATTTCTTCTTTCCCGAAAATTCTTTCATCGTTATTGCTGCTTTCAACTACCCAAATATGAGGCTCTACTAAATTTCATGCCATCCTAGAGGCTGCTAATAAGCCCAAAGCTTCGAAGCATTTTTCAACTAGCGGAAAGATGAGACTTAATGTGATATTCCTCTGCATCTCAATTATTCGTTTGCTCATTGAGCATAAGTACCAACCGGGTAAAATATTTAAAAGGATACCAATTGGGAGCATACCCTGCATATGAAAGCATATCCATCTCGAAACGAAGGTGAATAGCCATGAAGTGACCTTCTGTACGAAGCTTCTCAACTATTGATTCACTTAGCTTCATGATATGTGGTTTAAATCTTAAAGCATGATAGTTAACTCTGCATCTCAGACGTTGGTACTCTGGGTTATCAATTTCATCAGCCAAACGGTGTGAAAAGGGAGTTAGATATATGGCTCCATGTTGCTTCATTGTCGCGAGGGCCTCTGTTGTGTACCAATCAACACCTGCATTTCTATCGGGCCGCATCTGATCAGGAAACAATGAATTTTGCAGCTAATGAGAAGAGGAAACTTCTGGAATTTTTACGAATCTGGTGGGCACACTAAATTTTGTCGATGAAGAGAAAAGATATGGTATGGCTCACCTGAACAGCCTTCATCTTCTTTGTTTTGCCATTTTTACGAATTTCTGGAATGCTTTCAACAATTCGTACATCGTACCTCAATGAATGAATAAAATGCTCCACATCATAAATGCCATGGAATCCACTACACACAGCAGGAAAAACAAGTCTCAATACATAACTTGACAAGTTTGAAGAATTGAAGACAGAGAGAAAGAAGCGCCAGAACATCAATGCTAATATGAGAATGGCGAAAGGTAACTACCAGATGTTGCAAAACTTGATTTATAAAGGTCAGAATGCAGTGCCCTTTTCATTCATACCGGTAATTTTCGGAAAGCAGCTGATTCAAAAACTTTGATGCAGTAGAAGAGGGATACAGGAAAACAGATATACCTGTCATCATGCCAAAATGAGTTTGCGTCCAATTCAGGGAGCACTAGTGTAGCATTCATAATTCTAGCAGCAAGAACGGCATTGCAGATCTGTAACATTCAGAACAACATAAAAAACTAATGAATGACCATAAACAAATATTGACAATCCTACATTGCTTCACAAAGACAGCTTCAAAGACAAAATCCACGAACCAAGTTTAAAGAGGACAAAGCAAAATAGGGAAATATTCATTTACAGACCGCACTCCGCTGCTGGTTCAGACCACCATTACATCGAACACGCAGATATCCATTACTCTCTTTCGGAGGAGCTGCCAGATATCAATGGTAAGACAACAAAAGAAAGTTAACTTTCACCACAATTTTGCTAATCCTTTCCCACATACTCGAAGCTAATTTGAGAGAAATGAAGCACAAGTGCGTACGAGGCCAGTGAGATCTTGGAGCTGATGACGGCCTCCATCCACCCGAATCAGCACTTCCCCATAGCTGTTCTACATTAATCTGCACACAACAATTACATCCTCGAACATCAAACCGAAGAACATTCACATTGAAATCAATGACAATAGCGACAAAGCAAACGGACCTCTGAGGGGACAGTAAATCCCTTGCTTCCGGTAAGCGTAGTGGAAAACAGGAAAGCAAGCGTGCAGATCAAGAGCACTAGAACGGCAATTGACAACTTCGCCACCGATCCTCTCAGCGCTCCGGCTCCCTGCCTGAGCGACCTGCTGTGGAGGTGGTGCCTACTCGCCCGTGCACATAAAACAAGATAAAATTGGACCAACGGCGCCGATCAGAAGACATGCGAAAGCCGAACGAAGCATACAAAACGGAGAAAATAGTGCACTGGCTCCATGAGCTTCCGTTTGTCTTTCTCAATCGAATTCAAAGGAAAACGACGGAAGCTTACCTCCTCATTGTTCGGATGACGAAGCGGAGCAGGAGAACTTGCCGACGACGATGGAGGAGGAAAACTGGGACTTCCCGTCAAAGTTGTCTGAGACTGGTGACGGAGAATGGAAGTGAAGTGACCGAGTGAGGAGAGACCAGAGAGAGTGACAGAGTTTAGGTTTAGCTCTCTCGTTTCATTTTCTCTTTTGGCGTTGAATTAGCGACGGAGTTTGGATTTCAGGACTGGAACTGCGGTGGCGCGTGTAACCCGTTTTCTGCTGGGGTCGCGGACCCGGTCAGACCAGATCTTCTTCCTTTCTTCTTTGCGCAGAGGTGTTCAGAATTTATTTAAACGCGTAAAGTTTAATATGGTAAGTTTTAATTGATTAGGGAATCAGTAATGATTAATGAAATTTATTTATAGAAATTCTACCTTAATGCTTTTGTAATTGCTATATAACTAGTATCAAATTCTGGCAATTTTAAATTTTGAATTGGATTTACCAAAAAAAAAAACATTTGAATCGGAAATAAATTATATTCTTTTTAAATAAGCAAACATAAAAAAAACAAATTATTCAGAAAATCTCGTTGAATCGACTCGGCATTTGTTGTCGTGTTGAATTCTCAATGATTATGAATCAACTCAACAAGCACACTGAGTACATTATATCTCGTCGAGTTTTTGTGACATAAAGCTTACTCCAAATTAATTGTATGTACTCTCTTGGATTAGATGGAATTCCATCACTTCCATTTGTCCACTTGACATCTCGTGCAATTAGATTTCTCGCATAGTTGCACTCAAATAGGTTAAACTTTTCCAGAACCTCTTTAGTGTACTTATGTTGGGATACGAGAACTCCTTCATTTTGAGTAATTTCCACTCTAAGAGAAAACTTCATGTGTCATCTCAAAATCACTTTTCGTTGAGGTCTTGAATTCATTTATCATATAAGAACTGTTGTTGGTGTAGATAATTGTCATCTGAAAAAAGACTGGCCAACATTATTTTACTTTCAATTTGTTCTTAATGTCATTACTAAAAAAATAAGCTTTAATTATGCTACACCAAGCTCTTTGATTAAGGCCATATAATGCTTTATTCAACTTGTAAACCTTATTTTCCTCCTCCGCCACCATCAATCCTTATGGTTGCTTAACGTAAACATCTTCTAATAGTTTTTCATACAAGAAGACACTCTTAACATAAAGATGGTAGACAACGAGTCCGTTATGTGCAGTTAGTGCTAAGAGTTCCCTAAATGTATCTCATCTTGCAACAAGAGCAAACACGTATGTATAATAAATCAAACCTTCTAAGAGTATCCTTTACCTACATGCTTGCCTTGAATTTATCTACTGATACATCTTCCTTCAGTTTTCTCTTGAAAATCCATTTTAAGCTAATCGGGATTTCATATTCAAGTGGTGTAGTGATGATCTGGGTTTTATCCATTTCTATTGTTTTCATATCTTCCTTCATTGTTTCTTCCCATTTGATGTCATTCATAGTTTATTCGAAAGTCTACGTGTTATACATATCAAGATGAGCATGTGCTCTTGTTACCATAGGACCCAATCATGAGCTAGCTAGTCTCAGACTGTCAGTTGGTGACTCAACATCTTCCTCCTGCAATTCAATCGGTCGGATTCCGGTTGATGTGTGGCTTGAGGGGTTGTTGGCTCGGGACTGACATTGTCCTTTTGGACTTGTTACAGTTGTTTCTGGTGAGTCTTCTTCAGTCTGTATCATTCTCATACAAATAATCCTCGCGTCCTTCCCATATCAACTTGGTAAGAATAGGTTGTACGTGAGAGTTCCACTTCCACCCTTTAGTTTTATCAAACACAACATCGAATCACCACCTTTTTAACATTGGGCTTATGAAATGTTTTGGGACTCAACTAAAATACCCATAAAGTGACACATAACACTCTTGTTATCTAGCTTCTTTCTTTGCTAATAGGGGTGGGCATCCGGTTCGGTAAACCCGAACCGAACCGGACCGAAACCGAACAAAACCGAATCGAAACCGAATAAATATTGTTCGGTTCGGAATTCGGAAAGGAAACTTGAGTATTTCGGAAACCAGGACAGTTAAACCGAACCCGAATTCCGAACCTCCGAACCGAGAAACCGAACTTCTGTTGCCCACCCCTTAATTAAGCCCAAAACCCCACAACCCACTCTCCCCAAGCCCAAACTCTTCTCCCCCAAACCCTCTCCCCAACCCAGGCCCCCACAACCCACATGATCCTAAGGTCTAAGCCCAATCCCATCACAAACCCTACCCCATACAACCCTAAGCCCATCTCATCTCTATCTCTATCCTACACAGCAGCCGCCATCATTATCAACAATGAACATTGAACAATGGCCAAATGCAAATCTCATATCCGGAAGCCTCCATGAACCGTCGCCAAATCTAATCTCCTATCCGACGCTGCAAGCAACCAATGAATCGCAGCTTCGCCCTCGTCGATGCCCTCGTCGCCGATCGATCTCACCTTTTGCATGTGGGATTGGTGGCAAAGAATCGTATGAACTTGGAGTAATCGACGCCATCGGTGGATTCGAAAACGGAAGAGAGACCGAGCAGATCCGCCGTGTTCTGAGATGGGATGTCGTGTCGTCTGCGACAGCGACACGATATCATAGACCCGCGACGGCATACGACGGCGTTGGACAGGGGAGAAGGAAGAGGAGGAGGTGAGAGGCGGATTTATGGAGGCGGATTTATGGAGGAGTTGGGTGAAAGATCAGGGTTGGAAGAATAACAGATTTGAAGGAGATGGAGGGAGTGGTTTGACGAGCAGAGGAAGGTAGAACTGTAGAAGGATGTTTGTTGGTAGAGAGAGAGGAAGATTTGAGTAAAAATGACGAAGAGAGTGTAAAGAAAAGAGGAAGGGTCTGGAATTTCGGGGTTGGTCGGGATCCCGAACCGAACCGGAATATAACTCGGTTCGGCTAAACCGAACCGATTTATACTTCGGTTCGATTTCGGTTTCATGTGGAGGGTGTTCGGTAAACCCGGTATACTCAATTTCGGTTCGGTCAAAACCGAACCGATGCCCACCCCTATTTGCTAATATGGAACATAACAAATGCAATACAACCAAACACTCTCTAGCGAGATTGATGGAAGATGCCATGTCGAAAGTTTATGAGGTGTTTACCGTTGGCTAGCAGTAGTTGTACTTTTATTTAGGATTTGTGTTGCCCAAGATATTGCCTCAAGCTAGAACAAAGCATATACTTTCTCATCTCTATCATACACCTTACCGTATTCATAAATGTCATGTTCTTTCTCTTGCTAGGGAGTGAAAGCAACAATTAACTGTTTACTGATCCTTATTTTTCACACAAATCCTTAAATTTATTCAACAAGAACTCCCCACTCCTATCTATTCTCAAACATATTAATTTGTTTTTCTCCTTGCACTTTAAATTTATTGAAATATTCCAATGTTTCAGACTTTGCAGCCATAAAGTACACACAAGTTCCTACTAAAGTCACTGGTTAAGGCGATAATATATCTTTTACCTCCATTTGAAATTGGTGTGATTGGACCATATAAATCAACATGTAGTAGTTGAAGCCTATGTGTTTCCCTCCAGGTGCTTTTGTTGGAAAATGGCCTTCAGTGTTATTTCCCAATTAGACATGTTGAGCAGACTCCTGTTATGATAGTAACTTAGGTAGATATAGCACTAGGTTACTCTGTTGGGATTGTAGGATAGCTTGTGGGCTCAAAGTCCATACCTTCAATGTCAAAGTTCTAGAGAAAGACTCATTGACATCTTTGGTGTATAAATATGTAGTGATGTTGCTCATGTTTGCTTGAAGAACCAAACATCTGATTCTTCTGCATTTTTTATCTACAAAATAATCATTTTTTCGAGAAATACCTTACAAGATCGCCCTTTGAAATAAATCCAAACCTTTCTCCTGAAACTGACCAACATTAAGCAAGTTAGTGTTCAATTATGGAACATAGTGGTCACATCAAGTTTAGAATAATTTCCATGTCTTACACTTCTTCTAAAACTTGAATCCATGTATGTGAACGAGTTATTCGTTCCACACATGTGATTGATGCAACCCTGAATCCAAGAACCAATATTATTCATTCTTCTCCTTTTGCTCTTACATAAAGATCATAAGTGGCATATCTTCCTTCATTTTTGGGTGTATTGTGATCAATTGAAAGATAGTTGACGTAGTTTGTTTGTTGATTATTGTGTCATTTTGGACATTAATATATGAAGCGTCCTAGTTTATGGCATTTGTAACACTAGACATCTTCTATATTCCAACATATTCCTTGAAAGCCACCCGTTCATTGTCCTTTACCCCCTTTTCATCCATTTTCATAGCCCACTCTCGTAGTTGGATCATCCTCAACACCATTTTCTTACTATACTTTTGTTCAACACAATAAATGAGCTTTGAAGGGCATCAACCGGGAGGTAAATATCCTCAGATTCCTACAATTGAGCATACCACATAATTGAACTTTTCTGTCAATATTCTAAGTATGTTTTCCACAATCTGAACATCATTCAGATTCTCACCATTGTTTCTCATGGAGTCAGCCACTACCATAACTCTTCCAAAATAATAAGTTTTGGTCTCGCATTCTTTCAACCAGCTCAAAGTTCTTTCTTAGGGATTGTACTTGTGCCTTCTAAACTCGAGAAATACTTTGGAACTTGGTTTTCAAGGCATCCCACAACTCCTTTCATGTTCTCTTGTTGGTGATGGTCTTGAGAATCGTTATGTCAATTGAACTGAAAATATAAATTTTATCTTCCATCAAATCCTTTAGCCTTAGGTCCTTGAAGCTCTTTGCTTGAACAACTGATATTTCCCCATTGGTTGTTAGGAACACAATCACCATCAAACTTGGGGATTCACACTTTTGCAAAGCTGTTATTTTCACTCATTATCATTTGTTTCAACATAAGATCCCTTTTTCTCATTTATCCTTGAGGCTTCACTCACCTCCCAATATAGGATCCTCACTTATCACACTTGTGTTTCCCAATACACAAATCTACAATTAGACTTGCAAATTTTCTAAAATCACAAAACTACTGGTTTGTAGTTTGCATAGCTCTTATACCACTTTGTGAACTCAAATGTAGGCAAACTAACAAAAGTCTTATGCTTGAAACAGAGGAACATTAAGTACAATAGTTTAGAACTTTTTCTTCAACTCTAATTGTTCCCTCTAACCCCCTATCTCTTGATTTCTGCTACCATGATTGAACTAGCAAGGCTAACAATCATCCACTCTAACTTCAAGCTTCCTACTAACCTGAAATCTTGGATGGACCTTTGACACAAAACATAACTTCAAACTAAAATAGTATGACGAGACACAATTTTGGTTCTTGTATTCAAAAATAAACTTTCCCGCTTCTTGACTCCAAACATCAGTCTACTCGGGTTAGAGCCTTCCTTCATACTTCTCTTTAGTTTATAGTAGTTCGTCTTGTGGCAAGAATAATTTTTATTTGCATACCATGAAGAGGACAACTTCATATGAACAAAGGTCCAAACATAAGAATTTATGATGCTATCCAAATGCACGGGACCCAAAAAATTATGACAATTAGCATAAGCTCACTCACGAGCCTATACAACAAGAAAACACTCAAACGGAATAAAGATCACTTAACGAATGAACAATGACAAAAAAGAAAGGAATGTATAAGATTTTAAGAAAAATGACGGTCCAAATTTATATGAAGGGGAAGAATGAATGTATGTCGTACCATGAGCAGGGATAACAATTAGAACGAGCCCGTTCAAGTATAATACCACTTCGACCTGGGCAGGAGTGATGCGTGAGTTACTACTTCTGACCTGCCCGTTTGTCCCATTATTGACTCAAAATTTTTCAACTTTCTTCAATATCTATTTGTATTTCTCAATTTTTGAAAATTTTCAATCATATTCACCCAAGTAACTTTAAATAGGTGCGATACTAGATCTTGACTTATTTCATTATCACTAATTTCAATGAAGTGTTTTCCTTTATTTTGTCATAAAAAATGAATCGACCCAACCCGCACGAATATTACTCGACATGTCTCATACTTGGCACGAGAATGATGTGAGTATTGAGATACCCACCCCGCCCAGTTATTTGTCATTCCTAATTAGAAGTGGGCAAGGATCCGATTCACATCTGGTCAAATCGTACCCAATCGATATTTGCCCAACTCGATCGAATATGTTTGATCTTAGTCCTGTGGATTATTTTAAATATCAATAAAAAATGAACCAAAATTGAATTTAGTTCATAACCAAGTTGAACAAAATATGTTTTTTTTCCCGGTTCTGATCCTCAATTTTCCTTTATTTTTGGTCCTGTTCTATTTCAATTCGATTTGTGCCAACCCTAAAACCCCCCATTGCTGACATAAGCCAAAACTCGCGCCGTCGTCCTGTCGTAGAAAACCCCTAGCAAACCAGATGGTATAAATACACCGTGAAATAAACTCAGGGGGGAAAGCGGAAACCACCTGTTTGGCTTCTTCAGCCCAACGTCAGCCCCGGCTGTTTCTTCTTCCTTCTCAATGAGCGGACGCCGTCCTCCCTTTCGGCCTCTCGGCCAACAGCCACCGCCACCGCCACCAGGAGTTCCGCCGCCGCAACCCCCTCCTATGAATGTCGATCCTAATCTCAACCTTCAGTTGCAGAATATGTATTTCCAATACTTAGCCAATACTCTTCTCCAGAACCTCCAGCTCCAGCAGAGCATCGCTGCCCCTCCCCCTCCCAACCCTAATTTCCTGGTTCCAAACTTTAATCTGCCCATTCAGAATCCAGGTATGTTCCCTCACCAGCAACTCCCTAGTAGCTCAGCTGCCCAGCTGCCGCATTGCTCGCCTGCGCCGTCATTGCCACCGCCACCGCCGCCACACCCCGGCGGTTCGATTGACCAAAGGCACGAAGACCCAACCAGGGAACCGTCTATGAATAAACCTCCAGCGGTCCCTTTTGAGAGAACCCAGCCCTTTGCAATGAAACATGATAACCTAAGCAAGAATAAGTCTATTGAGAAAATTGACCGGGCAGCGGATAAGGCGAGGAGAGACCTTATTGCTGCTGGGGAGGGCGTTACGTCATGGAAGGTTTCCCAGGAAGTATTGCTGGCATTGCAGGTTGATTCATGGCAATCTTTAGGGTTTAGGATGCAGGAGATACCGTCTCTGCACCGGCTCATTCTCACTGAAGGGAAGGTAATCGCAAACTTATCCTTGCCTTTCCCTCTCCTTTAAGAGCTTGCTGATAGCTGGTTTTGGCGGGTAAATAAAGCTTGCAAGTAAGCAGGAGACAGAGCTCGGTATGTGGATGTCTTTAACGAGTCGGACATTATTACTATCCTGAGATCAGGATCATTGAAAAGCTCATTGGAAATCTCCTGATCATGCATTTGCACCGTCATTTGTAGTCCGATTTTGAATTTTATTCACTCTGGATATGAGGTTGACTTCGGTGCAGTTGAGACTTTGATCTGCTAGCTGCTGAGTTGTCAATTGTCATGGATGTGTTTGTTGAACCTCCATTGTTATAATTGCAGTGTACTGTATGCTATTTTCTGGTTTATGCTTTTTTCCATGGATTATGTCTTGATTCTTCTATTTAGTTTCTTACTTCCTTTGTTCGTGTTATCAGGTAAACGCATTCATCCATTGCTTTGTTGCAGTCTGGAGGATGACCTCATTGTATGACCTAGAAGTGGCACTGTGCCAAAATGAGGGTGTTGAGCAGTTTGAAGATCTGGATTTGGGACCGCTGTTGCAGCATCCTCTCGTCTTACACTACTTTTCTGTCAATTCTAATGTCACCGAAGTGTTAAAGATAACTAGGGAGGACATACTTGCTGACCTTCAAGAGTTCATGCATTTCCATAGAAAGAAACATATAAAAGTTGATGAATTTCTAGATTTCGTCTCTCAGAAGCGATCGATTGTGGAAAAAGAAAAGCTTGGAGTCCGTATTCAGAACTTGGGGTCGGTATTCATAAATTTTCAAGTGTTCTGTATTATTTTCTCTCTTCTCTTTCCTGATCTCCCTCCCACACTCCAAGAAAAGGGATAAAACTGCCTTCAATCTTTTCAAGTCTTCCCCACAATTGTTCATTTTATGTTTCATTGTCCGACTGATTTTGAATTCCTCACTTTAGAAAATAGTCATTCGAAGATTATTTTCTGCTATCTATCTTTTTTGAAAATCTATATATTTTCATAATACATCCATTCCTACAATCCACCATCCCAACCACCCATTATTTTTACTGAGTTTTAATTGTTCATATGGAGGGCATTTTAATTGTTCATATGGAGGGCATTTGGTTGTGGTATAGACTGATAGGATGAGTTAATATGTTTTTAACAAAGATGGGAAGGTCAATTCAGGTAGCAGCATATGCACAATATTTTTTCTTTTTTGTTGTTTTCATCGGATAACCCCTATTTAAGAGTTCTAGAGTGTATAATGTCTCTAGTAACTCACAGTGAGGGGCATATTAAAGGAGCCTACAAATTATGCTGCTACTTCGAAAACAAACAGTTTTTGCCTGAGAAACTAGAAGGAACTTTGTTTTTGACAGGAAGAATCCTGTGTCAATAGACAGCAGTTTAGGGTTTATTCTTTTTCCCATGGCATAACGTAAATGTAGCTTGATGCTGATCATGCTAAATTTTATGACAATAGGATGTATATTTCTTTTATCCGGGATGCCAAGAGGTCTGAAGATGAGGCATTGACGTTGGCGAGACGGAAAATAGGTTTTGCAAGGAACACTGTTGGCACAAGTACAAAGCAGCCTCCTTCTAACGACCATAAGAACCTGGAGGAGCGTTTTTTCCACTATATGTCGGCGGGTTGAAACATTTTCCTCTGTACAAAATGTTTTCTGTGGGAAGCACATTCGCTTTGGTTCATCAAGCTCTGAAGACGAAGAAAGTGACAATGGTTCAAGTGAAGATGAAATGACGCCAAATAGGCACAACACTGATATGAAGATACCATTACAAGATTTCAGTGGCTCCTTTCGTGTAAATAGTTGTCCTTATCCATCTGCAACTGAGGAGAGGTCACGACTGGGGTTGAAAGGTGATGTTGCTTCCCAGTCTTCTCATGATGCTGAGAGAAAACACAGTGGGTTGGGAGGTAAAAGAAAACTCCCGATGACAAAAGGCACCGTGTCACCACCTTCCAAATTTCGTAAAGTTGACAAGGTAAAAGAAAACGGTATTGCAGATTTTAATATACCGGATGACGATTCTGCTCTATTATCTGATAGCTCCATGAAAAAGTTCATTGCGACATGGAAGGGGGACTGTAAGGAGCACACTCTAGTCAAGGTATGTCCATCTACAAACATTCACCTAATGTGAGAACATTTCTGTGCTGGTTGTGTTGATGCTGGATGTCTGTGCTAGAGGTCTCCATTTCTGAATTTTTCTGTGGTCTTAGTGGGGCAATTTGATATGGCCACTTGGAGGTGTAACAGTCTAACTAGCTACGAGAGAAAAAATTTAACATTTGATTTTGGTGGTTTGCGTTGTGTAGTTTTGTTTCTATCAAAGATAAAAATTTACTCTGACCTCAATTATCCACACACATAATCAGATATCAAATAGGCTGAACTATATATTCTCCATAGGCATCATGTTTAGGCCACATGTCTCTGTCATGACTTTGCAACATTCATATGAAGAGAACTACATTAGTGGGATGATAAGGAAGCCATCATACTTTGAACATATATGTCAAGACAACTCCAAAAGAATGGAGTGACGAGGATCCAAATGTGGTGGAGCGGGCTACAAAAAACTATGGTTTAAATGAGGTCACTAAAACTTATGGATTATATGGACCTTGTTGGTTATAATCCACATATGATACAACAAAATGGGATGTCCCTATGCTACTCATGGAAGCTTGTGATTTCTATTTTCCTGTGTCAGGTGTCTACTTTGTATATTAATATTTAGCAAGCTGTGTACACTGTAGAGGTGATAGGTGCTGATATCTTTATTGAATTTTGCTTTCCTACTTCCATTTCAGTTCTAGATATGTTGCTTAACTTGGGCACTTTTGGCTTTTCTCTGGTGCTTCTAGGTCCTTGACAAGATGCTTGAGTTTTATGTCCCAGAAAACTCCAGGACATTTGCAAGACGCAGGAAAAAAATCAAGTCGACAATTTTGTCTCAGCCTGCCATTGGATTGCTTAATGTTGCTGTAAGTCAAATCCCCAACTCACTACATGTGGCATCATCTATGGGATGTTTTCATCTTGCTCACAGTACTACTGGCAGTATGGTGGTGAATCTCCTCCTTTTGTCCATGTTCCTTGTCTTTTGTTTGATTTCCTGTGGCTGCGGTTCAAATTGTGCAACGCTCCTAATATGAAATGAATTTTCCGCTTCCCTTCTTTGTTATAGTTCTAGAGTGTCCCACTCCGTTCTATTCTATTTCCTCCGATGTATATACTAATAGCAATCTTTCTGTGCCTGATTAATCATTTTCATTTCATACATTGCATGGCAAAAAGAACTATGCTCTCAAACTGATAGTCACATGCTCACATCACGAATGGTGTAGCATGACTTATTTTTGTACTTATCTTTGTTGTCAGTTGTCACTGTACTGTTTGATGTATTGGCCGATGAAGAAAGTTGATAATTTTGCAGATATCATCCATGAAACTTGGAATGTGGGATAGCATTTATGACACTTTTCAAGGAATTACTCAACAAGGGATGCAGGGGCATGAGCGCATTGATGTTGAAGCAGAAGAAGAGCACACATCTGTCGATGTTGAAGTGGAAGGAGAACACACACTTGTTAAGTCTGAGCAGAATCAGCAAACCATGAAAGGTTAGTGCTACCTTAACTGTCGTGAGTCTTTCTTTTTAGCCTCATGTAACCTGCCCCCACCTCTTTCCCCTAGTTCCAACCCCCAACTCTTTTCACCCAAGTCGGGGAAATTAGTCTATTTATTTATGTGAACGAAGAAAATAACAAAGCTATAGGTTAAGTCATGTGTATGTCACCTCTTAGTGTTACCCTGGGGGTGTATTCGGTCAAGTTGAAATGATTTATCTTTAAGTCTGTTCGTTATCACTTAAGTGGGTGGCGACGAATCTAATGTAAGGTCTAGGGTGTTATGAACTGATTGAAACAAACATATAACTCTTTGTCACAATTTGCATAAGAATCCACCTATAGACATTTCTTTACTTGGTTACAGATGCTGCCTTCTAAAGTTAGGTAATATAATGTAACAGGTGTAGCAGTTGAAGACATTGTTGCAAAAATTTCTACCTACTGCGAGCTTGATCATGAGCTCTGGCGCACCAGTAAGTCAAACTTGGAAAGTAGATTTATCTTTCTGCAGAAGCTTTGCTGTTGCGAGCGTTGGTTGGTTGACCATTTTGGCATTAAAGAATTCAACACCCTCGGTCATGGTGAGTTCTTTGTTTTCCTGGAGAAACACATTTCCCTCTTACCGGCTGGATTCCAGAATCTCTTGGTTCATGAACCATGTAGAAGCCCTTCACTTGAGGTTCACATTCTCCAGGATCAGTTGATTCTGTTAGTTGTGCAAGCTTCAAATAATTTGTGGGAGAATGAAACCATTACGACACAGATGATCTCTGCAATGCTTGCAAGGCAATTTCCTTCGTTCAGTGCCAATGTTACTGGAGACTGCTCTAGTGAACGTTTTCTAGGTATTGTGGAGAAACATAAGAGTAACGTTATCTCCAAGAGCATTCTGTTTTCTGCAACATTGTTGGGATCTGATCATATTGGTAGCCACTTGGGTCACAATGAAAGTGGAAGATTAGCAACCTCTGGCAGTGAGAAGATGTCCCTTTTGTCTGTTACGTCCAAGGCTGCCATTGACGTTCTACTTCAAGCTCCCATGTTGTCTGATTTGAAATTGTGGTCTCACTGGGATCTGAAGTTTGCTGCGTCTTTTGGCCCTCTCCAAGATTTTTTGGTGAGTGAAGTAAATACCAGAGAGCTGGTATGTCTTGTCACCAGAGATGGAAAAGTGATTAGACTTAATCATTCTGCTACTGCTGACACGTTCTTGGAAGCTTTTGTTAGGGGATCTCCTCTCCTAACTGCCACAGAACTTTTGTCTTTCTTCTCACTGACTGGTGGTGAGAAGCATGTTCCTTTGTCCCTTCTCAAATCCTATGCGTGCAATGCATTTGGTGTCATTCTGAATGATGCATCAGACAGTATGGGTGTTCAGGGATATGCAACGAACCAAGCGATTGCTATAATGGGATCAAAAGATCCGAGCTTTCCACTTTCTGTTGCTTCAAGGTTTTTTCTTGACTGCATTGGTTACGTGCCTGCAGAGTTTCGTGGTTTTGTAGCTGATGTCTTGCTTGCTGGAATGCAGTCTGTAACTTCTGATGCCTCATCAGCTATTTTGCTCGAATGCAGAGGAGTAGAACGTCTCATGCTTCATGAAATAGGGCTATCCATTGACGTAGCAGAATGGATAAAGGACTACCATGCATTTTCTTCTGATTCCAATTACTCAGCCAAATTCTCTGGATCGTTATGTATGGATGTTTCCATGTCCGAGTCAAGCACAGTACAGAGATACAACCAAGATGGAACTGATGAAAGACCACTTGCTTCTTATGGGGATCTTTCATGTGATAAGGGAGGTACCGATGGCAGTCTTACTGTAGGTGAGGCAGTGATCACTAGTCACACAGGTTGGTCTGGATTAGAGAATAATGATAAGGAGAAGGATGCAGCATCCATTGTTGACTCTATTAGGAGAGAAGAATTTGGTCTAGATCCAAACCTTTCAAGCATGGAGAGTGATATGTTGAGGAAACAGCATGCTCGCTTGGGAAGAGCACTTCACTGCCTATCACAGGAACTGTATTCCCAAGACTCCCATTTTCTTCTTGAGCTGGTCAGTATCTTATTATTCTCCTGATTTACATGTGAGAAAGTTACTGATAAAGATTAGGTCTCAATCTCTTGGCTGTACTAGGCATTTTCTCCTCATTTGTGTTATTATTTTGTGCCCATCCGTTAGACACTGTCGTTATTTGCCCAAAGTAGATTCTAAGGCTTCTATTCCACGCCACATGAAAAGAAAAATTAAAGGGAGAGTTCAAACATTGTATAAAAGAAGAAGGAATAGGAACATGGATATAGGATAATGAATATGGAGTATGTCCATCTATACTTGGCTGAGAATTATTACTGTTTGTTGTTTTGCCCCCTGTAAACCGTTTTTTCCCCCCTATAGGTGACGGTAATAAAGTTTGAACCTAGGATGGGTTGCACATTTTCCATCTTCATCATTTATCTGAACACTCTTAGTAGCTGTCCGTTTCTCCTGTAATAAAGTCCCTTTTCTTGACCAAGTGTAATGTTCTGTGAGGCATTGTGATAGTGGCATGTGTTCATCTTGCATTAACCTTAAGCATCTGGGTTTTCCTTTTATGGATTTTGATCTTAACCTTAGGTACATTGTCTCTTCAGGTTCAAAATGCAGATGATAATACCTATCCAGACAACATGGAACCGACCCTTGTGTTCATCCTTCAGGATTCAGGCATTGTTGTCTTGAACAACGAGCATGGATTTTCTCCTCAAAACATCAGAGCACTATGTGATGTTGGTAATTCAACCAAGAAAGTATCTGGTACTGGCTACATTGGACAAAAGGGGATTGGCTTCAAATCTGTGTTTCGGGTAGGTTTATTAAATCCTTCTCTCTTGATCTGCTTGTCTCTATCTTTAATGTCATTGGAATGACAAAGATAAGTTAGGATTAACCTCTTGAAACGATTAAATCCGTTGAGATCTGTAAAAATAGTCACTATGTTTCTATCTACCAAAAGGCCGCTGGTATGTATTGATATTTTTTTACTTTTTCTATGTGGTGTGTGTTTGTTCCGAGATTCTAAGTGATTGAAGAACATATTGCTCTTAATCTTTTATTTCATTGTAATTCGCTCTTTTCTCTTTGTTAATGATGTGAATATGCAATAAGGAAGATACTGAAGCCGACATATATTTCTCATTATTGCACTCTTCCCCTTGGCTTGTTCAAGAAAAGCAGTTGTATAATTCTTTACTAGGGTAGTCAAATGATTGTAAAGGGGATTGCACCAATGCAGTTGTTCTTTTCTATTGGTTATCAAGTAGTTATATTTAGAGCAAGACTCTTTTAATAAAACTTAAATATTGATATATACTACTAGGTCTGGTCCGTAAAAATTCTGGATTTCGGTAAACATTTACAAATTTAAATTGCATATATCAATTTTCAAAGTTGCAAACTCAATTTTCAAAATTGCATATATCAATTCTGGCAGTTTCATTTTAGATCACTACATATGTTATGACCGTTGCTTCTGCTTGTACTTGTTTGAAGGGCTTTGTGTCTGTTAATTTCCATCAATGTTTATATAAAATGTTCTTCATTGCTTTTTTTCCTCAATGTCAAAATGTTTCTTATGTCAAGTTCACATTTTGCTGAAGAGTAATTGTTGGTTTTTTTTTTGAAGGTTACAGATGCTCCTGAGATCCATTCCAATGGTTTCCACGTTAAATTTGATATAAGTGGTGGACAAATAGGGTTTGTTTTACCAACAATTGTGCCTCCTTGCAATGTTGATTTCTATAGCGGGTTGGTTTCTGGTGGCAGTGAACGCTGGAATACTTGTATCGTGCTTCCTTTTCGGTCAAAATTATCTGAAGAAACCACTATGAGAATGTTTTTGGATCTTCATCCTTCCTTACTACTCTTTCTTCACCGCCTCCAATGCATCACTTTCCGTAACATGCTCAATGACTCGCTTGTCACTATGAGAAAACAAATTGTGGGAGATGGTATAGTAAATGTTACATGGGGAGGAGATAAAATGACCTGGCTTGTAGCATCTCAGAAGCTCCAGGCTCATTCCAGCCGACCCAAAGTACATACAACTGAAATTGCGGCAGCATTTACTCTTAAAGAGTCGGACAATCGTGACTATACCCCTTGTTTGGATCAACAACCAGTTTTTGCGTTTCTTCCCTTGAGAGCTTATGGGCTGAAATTTATTCTCCAAGGCGATTTTATTCTCACTTCGTCTAGAGAGGAAGTGGATAGGAACAATCCCTGGAACGAGTGGTTATTGGCAAGTTTCCCTGCATTATTTGTCTCTGCCGAGAGATCATTTTGTTCCCTCTCTTGTTTCAGGGACAAACCAGGCAAAGCTGTGACTGCTTATATGAGTTTTGTTCCGCTTGTTGGAGAGGTGCATGGGTTCTTTTCAGGACTCCCTAGGGCAATTGCTCTGGAGTTAAGGAGGACGCCTTGCCTGTTCCTTGAGGGGGACACCTCGAAGATGGTTTTGCCTAGCAAGGTGCTCAGAGGTTGGAATGAAGAAGCTCGCATTCTCCTACCTGAAGCCTTGCTGCAAGAGCACCTTGGCCTTGGATTCTTAGACCACAACATAGAATTGTGCGACTCACTTGCAAGTACTTTGGGTATTATCGAATATGGACCTGAACTTCTGGTTAGATTCCTGACTTGCTTATGTCGCACAGGAAATGGACTCCAGTCCATGGGTGTGGGGTGGTTCTCGTTGCTGTTAGATGCTCTCTATCAAATGCTACCAAATTCTTCTGCGGAAGGTGCTCTTCTGCACAGCCTTCGGGCTCTTCCATTTATTCCTCTGTCAGATGGTACGTACAGCTGCACTGCTGCAGACACAATTTGGTTTCATTCTGATGTTTTGAGCTCAGGCCATGGGTTTGAGGCTTTCCCGAAGTTGTATGCTGAGCTTCGGATTGCAAATCCTGTCATCCTTTCTGCACCAGCTGCTGATGGAGCTTCTTCACAAAACATTGTGTTAATGCTACAGAAACTTGGCGTTCAACCATTGTCTGCCCATGAAATCACGAAGGTGCATATTATAGATGCTCTATCCGATTTTAGCAGGGACAGACATTCTATGATAGACTATCTCTGTTTTGTGATGATCCACTTGCAATCAAGCTGCCATATATGTCATAATGAAAGGAAATCAATTATGTCTGATTTGAGAAGTAAGGCATATCTTCTGACAAATAATGGATTCAAACGGTCAAGTGATACCCCAATTCATTTTAGTAACGACTTTGGGAATCCTATCGATGGAAGGAAATTTAGTAATGTTCTGGGGATGGAATGGCATGAAGTTGATGTTACCTATTTGACCCATCCATCAAATGGGTCACTTCCTGGTGCACTGACAAAATGGAGGGAGTTTCTCATGGAGATCGGCATTACAGACTTTGTTCAAGTTTGTCAAACGGACAGGAAAATTGGTGATTTATCTGGTCCATCAATTAAAGAATTGATGAGCGATGTTAAGCTGATTTCTCCAGAGTTTATTGCCAAAGATTGGGAATCAAAGGAGCTGGTGCAGTTACTGTTTCTTTTGTCAACCAATGGTGATGTACAGTGCTGTAAGTATCTCCTGGAGATTCTTGATAAATTATGGGATGATAGCTTCAGTGATAAAGTAACTGCATACTGCAACGGTAATACTAGTGACAATTCTAGACCTTTCAAGTCTTCCTTTATAAGCAGCCTCCATGATGCTCGGTGGGTTGTCTCGAGCATGGATAATGAGCTTCACTACCCTAAGGACCTCTTCTGTGATTGTGACACCGTACGGTCAATTTTGGGCCCTTTCGCCCCATATGCTATTCCAAAGGTAAAGATTGAATTTCGTAGCACATGACTCGCTCATTTTTTTAAAATCTTATTATTGTTCAATGTCATTCTCATTAGGTTCCATGGCACTGAGATTATGACTTGTGAGTTGCGAGAGGTGTATAACAAGTTGATTTCATGAAGCGTCATGTGATTGTTACATCCTATGGGGCTTATTTCTTACTTTATGCCTGTAACATATCAGTGCAACATATTATTGTGGGGGCTCGGTTAACTTGCTATTGGGACCAGATTTTTCATGTGCTTATAGATTTTTGCATGGGAGTTGTTACAGCTGCAGTGTCTGACATTTTTTTTAATATGTTTCCTGGAACAGGTAAAAAGTAGTAAGTTACTGGCAGATATTGGCTTTAAGACCAAAGTCTCTCTGGATGATGCATTGGAAACTGTAGCATTATGGAGAAAATCAAATACTAATTTCAAGGCCAGGTACTTTCTCTAGTCTATCTCAGTTACCTCGCCTATGGTTCTGCTTCTGAATGATGAATCATATAAAGCAATGCTTCGTGTGAACCTTTAGTTTGTACAGTTTATAGTCGTGTGGATGCAGAACATGGAATTTGCTTAGCATTGAGGCTTTGTTAAAACTTTATCATCTACAAATAATGACCAAACTTCTTTTTACGCTTCCATACTCTGGATGCTTTAAGTGAAATTCCTCTGGTGCAGCTGCAAAGTCTTGTTTTATGGAGAATAAACTAATTGAATATGTTGTAGGCATGAGATGTACGCAATAACATTGGGTTTTGTCTGTTTTTTCTATTTGCTCATCCCAGCATAGCACAAATGTCCCTGTTCTACACATTTCTCTCTGAAGAATTGGCTATCTCTAAGAAGAATATTCCGGAGGCATTTGGCTCTGAACCCTTTATTTTTGTTCCCTCCAAAACTGCGACAAGGCATAGCAATATGGTGCGAGGTGCTTTTTCACATCCTGAAGAAGTTTATTGGGATGATCCGACAGGCTCTTTTCACGAAATGAAGCTCCGTCATCAACGGAGCTCGACTTCAATTACTCGTGAGCCATTGAATAAGGCACTGTGTAATGTTTATCCAGGCCTTCATGACTTTTTTGTTAGCCAGTGTGGTGTACGTGAAAGCCCTTCTTTGTGTGGCTATCTTGATATCTTGAGGCAATTAACAGCTCTTGCACCACCTTCTGAAGCTGCTAGTGCAGTAAGTATAACCTACTAAAAAACAATTAGAGACAAGCGTAAATTTGCTATGCTGTAAATTAATCTCTCTTTCTCATGCAGGTTTTAAAAGTCTTCTTGAAGTGGAACAGTGAATTCAAATCTGGTTTGTTAAGTTCTGAGGATCTGATTCACTTGAAAGAATGTCTCATGAAACTTGAATATGCTATACTTCCTACTGCACCAGATAAGTGGATGTCCCTGCATCCCTCTTTTGGTCTTGTGTGCTGGTGTGATAATACAGAGCTAAGTAGCGACTTCAAACATCTGGACAATATCAATTTCCTGTACTTCGATACCCTCAATGACAACGACAAGGAGATACTTAGTAATCAAATGTCACAATTCTTTAAAGAATTGGGGATACCTGCTCTCTCGGAGGTGAACTCTTTTTCCTTTCTCTTCTTTTCGGTTCATAAGTTTTTGCAAAAGGTTGTAGATTTATGACTCGCACTTATTTTCTCTCTGCTTTGTTTGCATTGCCGTTGTCCATTGGGTCATGTTGTTTAGAAATAAGCATGTTATAACCCCTTCCCAGTGTTTCTGAAAATGAACAAAATAACCGGCCAAAAAATTAATAGTAAAAAACTAAACAGAAGCCAGACAAGCTGGACGACAGATTTGACAAGAAAGTCCTTTAAGCTAGTGTTCTGTTCTGTTGTCACGATTCAAATTGCTGATTCTGGAGCGTGTGACTATCAGCTGGTTCCAATTAGGAACTTTGTCGTCAACTTTCATGTCCTCCCACTGACTGATGAGATGGTGCGGTTTTTAGATATCTTGTCTTTGAAGTATAGAAGAGTTTGTAGTGTCACCATATGCAGGCTAGGGAATTTTAAGTGTATTTTCTGTACTTGGCATCCCAAAGTTCTGCTTCAAATTTTCCATTGGTCGGTCTGTTGTGCCTTGGGTAAATGACACATTTGGTCACTGAGATTACTAAATCGTGCCATATTTGGTCACTAGAAAAATTTAATATCAATTTTGGTCACTCGAATTATTGACACAGGTCACATTTGGTCACTCTCCTATAGCCTCTGCCCAACTCCGGTCACTCGAATTATTGAAAAATGTCACATTTAGTCACTCGGATTACTGAAACATGTCACATTTAGTCACTCTCCCAAAAAGTTTCCGTCCAACTACATTAATGGAGTTGGACGGAAACTGACGGGAGAGTGACTAAATTTGACCAGTTTCGGTAATTCGAGTGACCAAAATTGATATTAATTTTTTCTAGTGACTATACATGACACAATTTAGTAATCTCAGTGACCAAATGTGTCATTTACCCGTTGTGCCTTTGTTCTGAAAAACAGGTTGAAGCAAGGTCCACAAAATCATATGCTATTGTCAATTATTTGTTCAGGGATATCTTGGATACTATTCTCGTTTTTGTGTGTCAGTGACACTATTTGTTTCTTCACGAATGATCTATCACTGCAGGTTATAACTCGCCAGGCAATATACTATGGTCCATCAGACTCTAGCTTCAAATCTTCTATGGTTGATTGGGCCCTTCCTTATGCTCAGCGCTACATGCATGGCATTCATGCCACGAAATATAACCAACTCAAGCAAAATGGTTTTGAAACTGTGAAGAAGCTAGAAATCATTGTGGTTGAGAAGCTGTTTTACAAAAATGTCATTAGAAGTTGTGGCAAATCATCTCGGAGCCGATATGAATGTAGTTGTCTTCTACAGGTATGAAACATTCTCCCTGCCCTGTCACACTCTCACAAGTGCCAGAGGGCATGGTATGATATTTAGCCAAGAAGTTTTATTCACTTATCCTATATTTTCTGTTTCCAGGATGAAACTCTGTACTCCACAGTAGCAGCAGATCCCCATGCATTATTCCTGGAGCTTAGTCGTTTATTCTTTAATGGTTTTCCAGATCTGCACTTAGCAAATTTTCTTCATATGGTCACAACCATGGCTGAATCTGGCTCTACAGTGGAGCAAACGGAGTTCTTCATCTTGAACAGTCAGAAGATATCAAAGCTGCCTGATGAAGAAGCTCCCTGGTCACTCTCCTGCGCTCCTGCTTCAATAGGGAGTGGTGAATCCCTGACAACAGATATTGTTTCTATGTCAACGGATGGTGAGGATAAATGCTTGGTACCGAGTGAAGTTTCAGCACTAGAAACTGGATCAAAATCATCGAGATACCAGATAAAAGCTGGATTCGGATTGAGCTGGCCTCCTGCAGATTGGAAAACTGCTCCTCGTTTTGATCCTCACGCAAGGGACCTCAAAACTCAGGCGTCTACATCTTTTGGCTTAGCTAAGGACCCGTTGAATGATGTCGTGAAACGGATGGAAGGTACAAATAATGGCGAATGGACCATTAGAGAGGATCCAGGAACATTGCCTACTCCTGGCTATGAATCTGTAGACAATCATATTGACATTGCTCGTGAACAAACCCATTTGGCGTATGGCACAGCTGATCCTGCAAGGTTCAGTATCATGCCTGATCGCCCCGAGCCAATGATGTCACTTGGATTTGCCAAGAGAGAACAGTTCAATATAACTGCAGGAGGTAGTAATGAGCATACAGCAGCGACGGGGAGATTGGGCGAGGAGCTCGCTTTCAGATACTTGAAAGCGAAATACGGGGAAGAAGCTGTGAGGTGGGTTAATGAACAGAAAGAGACCGGGTTACCCTACGATATACGAACAGTTGGCAAAGAGCACGGTGGGCAGTATTTCGAAGTGAAAGCAACAGAATCGGTGCGTAAAGACTGGTTCTTCATATCAGGAAGAGAGTGGCAAATGGCAGCTGAGAAAGGTGATGCCTATACCATTGTTCATGTGCTGTTGGGGAATCACAATGCGAAGGTCAGTTTGTTCAGGAATCCGGTGAAACTGTGCCAGCAAGGAAACCTCCGGTTGATTGTTGTGATGCCAAACCAATTGCCGCAGACGTAGGTGGGACTTCTTCCTTGTTTGTATGTATAAAAGGAAGAAATATTTGTGTTATTGAAATGACAATAAAAAATATTCAAATTTGTTGGAATTATTACTATAAAATTAGTCATTTTCCATTCTGTTGATCACAACGGTGTGCAAGGATTGGACCAAACCATGGAAGACGCGTTCCAAAGTAAATGAAATTTAAGAATGAGAGACGCACCATCAATGTATGCTAAGATATCGACTAACGTTCACTTTTCTTCAATATTAAGGGATGGAATTCATAATAGCAAACTACATTATATTTAGGGGTCGTTTACTTCAAGGATTTTATAACGAGGGTTTTGTCATGGATTTGCTAATTAAAAACCTTGGGATTTATTAGTGATTTTGGGCATTATGGATTTGAAGAAATCTTTTGTTTGTTGAGCTATTTCTATCATGGATTTGATGGTTTTTCAACTTGTCTCCAAATCCCAGGGTATGAGGTGGGATTTACAAATCCGTGGAGCCCACGGATTTCGAGCCCCAAATCAGTGGACCCCACGGATTTGGTACCCTCCATTTTGGCTCAACAAACAATGGCTTTTGGACAAATCCTTCATGTGTTGGATTTGAGAACCAAATCCCACGTCCAAATCCTTGAAGCAAACGATTAGTTTGATTTTGATATGGCCAAGAATGAGTTACGCGTAGGGTGTACAACAAGTCAATTTATATCGGAACGCACCAAATCAAACCTATACTTGAATCGGACGACTGAGTGTAACATGATTCGATCTACGGTCCCATGAGTTATTATTCTTTTAGGGCTCTAACACTGTACGCAGAGCAGGAACAAATCCAAACTGATGCCAATCTGAATCCCATTTCGTACAAGCAATCTACTTTCTCCTCTGCTTATTCTGTATATGCATAATGACGTGCTAATTAGTAATTAGAGGGGCTGAATATATATACAGAAGTTGATTTCTCTCTTACAATGGTGTGCATCTCTCATAACTGTTGTGTTCTCTAACCTTCATTCGTCCGTCGGTAAGGCTATCAACGAGTATGTCCTGCCCGCCTTTTCTCCATTATCGGTTAATAACTCGCGCTTAATGGCGGTGAGTTCTCCACCACCAGCACAGCGAACTAGACAGCTGCTGACCAAATCGGTAGTCAGTAAGTGACGCGTACGTGGCCATTCCACGTCGATCCGACTGCCAGCCCAAGCCCAACCCAAAGTATCTAGACTAATTGTTAGGGTAAATGCCACATTTGATCACTGAAATTACTAAATTGTGTCATATTTAGTCACTTGAAAATTTTAATATCAATTTTGGTCACTCGAATTACTGAAACAAGTCAAATTTAGTCACTCTCCCGTTAGTTTCCGTCCAACTCCATTAATGGAGTTGAACGGAAACTAACGGGAGAGTGGCTAAATGTGACATGTTTCATAATTCGAGTGACTAAATGTGACACGTTTCAGTAATTTGAGTGACCGGAGTTGGACGGATGCTAACAGGAGAGTGACTAAATGTGACCTGTTTCAGTAATTCGAGTGGCCTAAATTAATATTTAATTTTTCTAGTGACTAAACATGACATAATTTAGTAATCTCAGTGACCTAATGTGGCATTTACCCCTAATTGTTAATTATTAATTATTATTCAGTTTTTCCCTTTCCTTGTTGTTTCGGTTTTCCCCTTCGTATTATGCAAACATGTAAGAGTAGTATAAGTATTGGTTTGGAGGAATAAGAGAAGTACAAGAAGAAAACCCCTAAAACTCTAGTCTACTTTTACTTTTTGGTTACGATTTTCGCGATGGACGAACCGATCATCCATCAATTGGTATCAGAGCCTGGTACCAAAGAACCGAGCTCCTACCAGCTCCCAGGGACACGCACCGAAGCGGATTCCGAGGAGACGAATGACGGTGGCAGCCCGCACATCGGCTCCGGCGAGCAAGAGGAACCGCGGGACCCGGATCGCACTTACCGGTGTCTCTCATCCAACAACCTTACGATTCTCCGTTCAGCTGCAACAGGAGACGATGGTGGCGTTAGTCGACAGAGGATCATCGCACAATTTCATCAACCGCGACACGGCCAAGGAATTGTTGATGACTCCGACTCCCATACCTCCGTTTTCAGTCAAGCTCGCGAATGGCGATGTGTTGCGCTGCGAGCACTGCTATGAGGATGTCGAGCTGCGCATACAAGGAGAGCAGATGCGAGTGGACTTGTATGAGTTGCCTATCAAAGGTCTCGACGTGGTGTTGGGCATTCGCTGGTTACGACAGCTAGGGCCGGTCACCATCGACTGGACCCATTTAACGCTGAAGTTCATGGACGACAATGACCGCTGGGTTGAACTTCAGGGGATCCGGAAGACCATCGTGAAGGACGACCACCTTCATCAACTGCGACGACGAGAGGTAGCATTCTGGGCTCTCTGCATTCCCAACCAAGCGGTGGCATCAACGGAATCTTCGGCCGAATTGCAAGAGCTTCTAGGGAGGTACGCCGATTTATTCGAAACCCCGACGCAATTGCCTCCCCATCGACCTGCTGATCATCGTATTCCACTTAAGGAAGGGACGGGCGCAATCAACGTGCGGCCATACCGCTACGCCCACTACCAGAAAGAGGAAATAGAACGCCAGGTGGGAGACATGTTGCGGACCGGGCTCATTCAGCCGAGTTCGAGCCCCTTCTCATCACCCGTCCTTCTCGTCAAGAAAAAAAAATGGTACTTGGCGGTTTTGCACTGATTTTCGAGCTCTAAACCAAGCCACCATCAAGGACCGGTTTCCCATCCCTACGGTAGACGACATGCTGGACGAGCTCCACGACGTGAGGTACTTTGCAAAGCTTGATTTACGTGCGGGATACCATCATATACGTATGAATAAGGAGGACATTCCTAAGACGGCTTTCCGAACCCACAGTGGCCATTATGAGTATGTAGTCATGCCCTTTGGATTGTGCAACGCTCTGACAACATTCCAAGCGGCTATGAATGACATCTTTCGACACCTCCTACGTAAGTCGGTCCTGATTTTTTCGATGATATCTTAATTTATAGCCAAGATTGGGAAACTCACTTGCAGCACCTTCACGAGGTTTTCGGCATATTGCGGAGCCACTAGTACTACCTCAAGCACGCCAAATGCGTGTTCGGTCGTCAGAGAGTCGAGTACTTGGGTCACATCATCACGCCCGAGGGAGTGCAGGTGGATAATTCAAAAATTCAGGCTATGGTTGACTGGCCGAGACCGCGTAACGTCTCGGAGCTACGGGGTTTTTGGGGCTGACAGGCTACTACCGCAAATTCATCCAAAATTACAGCTCGATTGCTCGACCATTGACTCTGCTACTGAAGAAAGGGGGTTTCGACTGGACAGAAGCAGCCGAGCAGGCCTTCATTCGCCTGAAACGCGCCATGACTTCGACACCCACGCTCGCAATGCCTGACTTCACGGAACCCTTTACCATTGAAGCTGACGCGTCAGGACAGGGCATTGGTGCGGTTCTCTCTCAAGGTGGGCATCCGGTTACTTACATGAGTCGCACCTTGGGGCCCGCGAAGATAGGCTGGTCAACTTATCAGAAGGAAATGTACGCTATCGTTATGGCCGTGCAAACATGGCGACCGTACCTCCTGGGGCAGACATTCCATATTCACACCGATCAGCAAAGTTTGCGTCATATGCTCGAACAACGAGTTTTTATGCCAGATCAACATAAGTGGGTGGTAAAATTAATGGGGTATGATTTCAAGGTTCACTACAAACCCGACATCACTAATAAGGCTGCGGATGGACTCTCACGGCGACATGAGGAATCCTTGTACTCCTTGACTACGGCCGAGTTCACCTTCTGGGATGAAGTACTCGAGGCTGTCACTAGTAATTCATATTTACAGGCTATGCGTGACAAAGCATTATCGACCGATCCGGGTGACTACAAGTATCGGCATGGCCTTGTGTTCTTCAAGGGTCGCATTGTTCTTCCACCGGGATCGCCACTCATCACGACTGTTCTCCATGCACATCATGACTCGGTTCTGGGAGGTCATTCAGGGGTAGAACGAACCCTACGATGCATTAACGGGATTTACTATTGGCCACAGATGGTACATACCATTAAAGACTAGGGGCTTGTGATGTTTGCCAGCGAGTGAAAACGGAAGGGGTGGTACCGATGGGGCTGCTGCAACCGCTCCCGATTTTGCGCCAGATATGGGAGGAGATATCCATGGATTTCATCGAGGGTTTGCCGCAAGTGGAGGGTCACTCTGTTCTCTTCGTCGTGGTGGATCGCCTGACTAAGTACGAGCATTTTATGGCTCTCTGTCACCTGTATTCAGCTCGGACTGTGGCTGAGGCTTTCATTTCTGGAGTAGTGCGCCACCATGGGATTCCAGTAACAATTGTTAGTGACCGAGACCGAGTATTTTTGAGTAAATTCTGGCAGGGGCTGTTTGATCAAGTGGGTACAAAGATCTTGATGAGCACACCCTATCACCCTCAAACGGATGGTCAGACGGAGGTGGTCAATCGCTGTATAGAGCAGTACTTGCGATGTTTCATGCAGCAACATCCGCGAAGATGGGTCCAACTCCTTCCGTGGGCCGAATTATGGTACAACTCAACATATCACCGCACGATTGGGACGACCCCATTCCAGGCGCTCTATGGCCGACCCCCACCTTCTGTGGTTCCCTATTCGGATGGGTCACGTACAATAGTTGGTGTTGATGAGCTCCTCAAGGAGCGGGATGAAGCTTTAGCTCGCCTTCGCCAGAACTTGGCTGCGGCCAATAACAAGGCGAAGCAGCTCGCTGATGCTAGTCGGCGGGACGTCACCTATGACGAAGGGGAATGGGTTCTTCTGAGACTTCACCCATACCGGCAGTCGACCGTGTTCCGCTGAGCTTCCCAAAAGCTTGTTGCTCGATACTTTGGTCCATACCGTATCCTCAAGCGAGTTGGGGCCGTCGCCTACAGGTTGGAGTTGCCTTCATCGGCTCGTGTTCACCCAGTCTTCCACGTGTCACTGTTGAAGAAATATGTAGGCGATGTCGACCCCCAGCTGGTACCCCTGCCGCCGGTGGGTGATGATGGTGATCTCGAGGTCGTTCCGGTCCGAACACTTGACCATCGTTGGAGTTGCAAAGCAGGAC